GTACTAAAAGTAGATAAACCCTCATGGAGTTGTGATTCGCTGTTTTTCAATCGATGCGCTTCATCAACTGCCAAATATTGCCACTTAATATTTCCTAATTCTTGACGATCTTTAAGAATGAATTCATAGGTCGTTACCAAGGCATTGAATTTTAATCTTCTTGATGATGACGAAACATAAAATTCATGTTCTCTTATTACTTCACGACTTTGAGAAGGACCAGTATAATAAATAACATTAAGATTTGGTGCCCAAGTTTGAAATTCATTTTGCCAGGAGCCAATTGTTGATAAAGGAACTACTATCAAATAAGGACCATACTGCTCCAAAGAATGATACAGGTAAGATAAAAAGGAGATTGTTTGGACCGTTTTCCCTAAACCCATTTCATCAGCCAAAATACCGTTTTCATTGCGAGTCCATAAATGAGCAAGCCAATTTAGTCCAGTAAGTTGGAAATCCCTTAATTCACCGCCGGTTAAATAAGAAGGTTGTTGCGTCATGGGTTTAAAGAGCGGCCTATTTTTTGTAAAAACTTTGCTTTTATGTGGGATATTTTGGTTATTGTTTCGATGATTGAAGGCATCAATTTCAGATTTAAATTCACTTTGAATAAGGTCGGTTGATTCCCAGGTACAATCTTGATAAGACAAACGTTTGAATTTGCACAAGTATTCAATACCAGAATGAGGGTTATCTTCGGTAGGTGATGTTGCTTTTTTTTGATATGATTCTTTCGACCGTCTTGTAATCCTTTAACATGTCTCTAGACATTTCCATCCTTACATTAAGGGTTTCTTTGTCTTCGGGACTCTCATGCAATGAATATTGTTCAGACAAATAATTTTTGATATAATTTTCCAATTTTTTAAAGCCCCTCAAACCACGACAGTTTTCGAAAGTTTCCCAAGTATTATGCAGATGGCTCCATCCTTTCCATTTTATTAAAAATTCCATGTTTGTTTTAGGATCATCTGGATCATCAGAATCTATATCATAATTAGATGGAAAAGTTAACAATCAGACAAATAATATTAATTCAGATTACATTTGTTTGTGCTAAATAATTGTATTAGATAACTTACTATTCCCTCCTTCTATTC